GTCACTGAATTTAACATGTAAAAATGGTTGAATTGCTGTATGTTCTCTATGTGTATTCTCAACAACAGCAACAAAACATGTACTGCTCACAGTGCTATGGGTCATGAGTTCTGGAGAAATTTGTTTGGGGGAAAAGGTGTGCCCGATCTAGGCCATGGTCTTCACAATTACATGTTATACATCAGAGAGCTGGACAATGACTGAGGATGACAGAAGAAGAATTCATGCTTTTGAGCTGTGGTGTTGGAGAAAAGTAGTGAACATATGACTGATTTCCAGGAGAACAAATAGGTCTGTCTGTCTTGGAGAAGGTGAAACCCAAATTTCTCCTAGGAAGCAAGGATTTTGAAGCTCTGTCTTGTATACTTGGGGAACGTGGCCAGGATGGGCCAGTCCTTGGAGAAGAATATCATGCCTGAAAGGGTGGAGTGACAGCACAGGAGAGGAAGACCCTGGATGAGATGGTTGACACAGTGAGTGGGGCAATGAGATTAGGTGTGTTGGAGTCAGTGAGACTGGCTCAAGATTAGGGCTCAGAGTTATTGTACATAGGGACTCAGTGGCACATAACAAGTCAGCTAATCTTATGTGTGACTGATACAGGAGGATTCACTTCCAAGAGAGCTTCTTTTCACATTAATACCCCCGGGGGGGGGGGTGCCTGCATGAGTGTGTCTCCCAGGACCTCACACGTGGTGACCTCAGGGACATCTCACTTCTTACATGATATTGCCTTCCAAGAGAACGAGGCCAAAGCTGCTAGTTTACTTAAAGGTCAGGCCCACATACTGTCACTTCCAATGTGCTTTGTTGGGCAAACCAGCCTGGTTTCAAGAAAAGCAGATCTAGATCCTATCTCTTAGAGGAAGGAGTATCAGTGATTTTGTGCCCCTCTTTAAGACACCACAAGGAGTCAAAAGGATGCCGTTTTGTCTTGGTTCGTATACAAACCAGTCACAATTGGACTCCCTTATGTCATGCTGACAGTTAGAAACCAAACAGCTAACCAACTGTGATTTAGTACAGGGAGACAAATGGTACTTCACACTACAAGTTGCCTAGATATAGACACTACTTTAGCAGCCCACAGCACGAAGGACCCCGAGCTCTCCCCATTGTCCTGCCATAAACATAAGCACGCTTGTCACATCGTACTCCCAGCATGGCTTACAAATCTCCTGATGACATATTTCCATCCCGTAGCCAAATCTGTCCCTTTTCCTTTTTATCAGGTAGTATCATTTTTCAGAGAACCGGCCTGGACCGCCTAACCAGCTCTTACTTTTCATTGGCTGGGCTGTGTCACATGACCACTCTGGTTGAAAGGAAAGCTGGAAGAAGAGAGTAACCAAGACATTTCCTGAACAAAAAAAGCAAGAAAAGGAAAGGTAGTGGCTGTCTATTAACTGTGTGACATGACACAGTATCTGTCACACTGTTACACATTCTGAAAGTCCCAAATTTCCTGATATTTTGGTACTGAACAGAAGAATTACGCATTTTTCACTGCCGCCTGATCATCCATTATATATTGTTGTTG